GAAGGTTTTAAAAGGGGGAAAATTTTGCTTTTTAGAAACGGGATTCGCAAAAAGTCGGTTCCTGTAATATTTGACTAATTCTGGACGTACTATATGGACGTTTAGATCGACACTCTTCTTAGTTTCATAATTGATAAATGCGGCATGAAAGCGTGCAATGGATGTCATTGTCAAATAAAAGTGTTCATAGTCCAGGGTGTCGAGGAAATGACGAGAAGTGTAGCCAAGCGACGTCAGATCTGGCATCACGATGATTGAGTCTGTGTAGATGTAGCTCTGACGCACCATGGTTTGAATCTATAAAATGACAGAATCAATTTAAAGGGCAAGAACTGGGTTCAGACTGCAGAATCAGTACTAATTTGTTTGCACGTTTGACAATTTGGTTGATATTTTTTAGCCTAAAGGTAGCTTCCAACTATGCTATCGAATTATATACCATATATATACAGATACCACATAGGAGAAATTCTTAGCACAAAGCTGCTTTAAAACATAAATAATGTCTACAGTGAGAGAGCCATGCTTCTTCACAATTGGGCCGGCTCTACGAGTGATACCACGGCCTCACAGAAAACCGGTTGTTAAGCAATTCTTTCGTTGCCTTTCACTGAGTGAAGGTGTTTCATGGGAGGCTTGTTGATGCTTACCATCAGGTGACCGCCTGCTCGTTTGCCTCCTTATACCATAAAAAAAAATCTCATTCAAAATATTTTTTGGCCCAAAAATGTACAATTTTTCTTACCATCATCACGAATATCGTCCAAGACTCGATACATTAACATTTCGCGCCTGTAAAAATTATGTTTGTCAATAAACTCAGCCTTAGGCTTGTTACTGCCGAAATGCGTTTCAAAAACAAATACACTTTCTTTGTTCTCCTTGTACATCCACATCCAGCACTCCCTTCAATGTGAATCGCCAAGAAATCCAGCTATGCCATCCATTGCTGCGTAATTTCACTCTTTACCAATTGCGGGACCGTCTCCACCAATAGCTTGATTCAAAATATGAAGAATCTGCTTCTCTGTTAAAATTTCTTCAAGGACTAAACGTTTTCCACAACCAACCATTTTGTATTTTAAAGTATTACACAGATCGATTCCTTTTATAATTTATATTTAACTGTATTTACTGAATGTGTTTTAATTAACTGATCAAGTAATAATGGCATGTGGTCGCTATAAATATGCCTAGAATATGATAAATATATAATACAGTGTTTGTTGAGGGCTCAAAGCAGCTACTGTTTGAGATCTGAAATGCATTGTTCACTGACATTTTGTTAATACTGTGTAATTACTATTGTTAGATAACAAAACTGCAGGTAGTAATGCCACTTAGGCAGACAGCTAGGTAGTACGGGTTTAATTTGTTAAAAAAAAACAACTCCTGCACTAGGAATAACCTGTGTCGGGGGGGACTTTACAACCTTCAAAAAGGACACAAAGAACCCCCGCTCAAAACATTTATTTTGTGGATCCACAAAGTTTTGGTCCATGTGGGGATAAATTTTCAAAAACACCCCTGCGGCTTAAAACCACTACGCATCCTTGCAGTAAAAGGCTTTCGAAGGACGATTCCTACCTGACCTTTGTACCCGGGACTTTCGCAACCCCCCGTTTTTTAAAGCCAGCAAAACTGTAACCCAAATCTTTTGGAAGCCTTTTTCCCGAAAGCTACCGTAACCGGATGCCTTAGCGGGGGAATTTAAATAAATTTCCCCCAATTACCGTATAAGCGATTTCCCTTTCTCCCAAGGTCACCGACTTCCTCAAAAGGGTTGAAGAAAATTGGGTTAAATCAGCACACTTGAGAGATAAAGAAAATAATATCCCTCCACATCTCCACAGACCTCTGACCAAAAACTGTGCAGAGCCTGTGCTATGGAAACCCAATGCTGATAAACATATTATATATTTTTAAATACTTTAAGAAAATTACACCCAGACCAGAATAAAATGCCCGTGCTCATCACACAATTTTTGTCCAGGGTGGGAAACCAAACCCACGACCTCCGCTTAGCATCATGGCCACTGCCCACTAGCCCAACCACCCTTAAGATGTATTAATATAAAATTTTTACTTCATCATCATATCTCAACAGCCTTTTAAATAGTCCACGCTGGACATAGGCCTCTCCTTAGAAAGGGGTTTTTTGGCCTACTATACCAACGCGGGCCAAGGGGGGGGGTATAGGGTTTGTGTCATTTTCCTTTTTTTGCAGTGCTTTTTGTCATGCGTAGTTAGCTCCTTTAGGGGCTGTTACGCAAAAAATAATTTAGTATGAATTTAGCTTTTGCACTCGGCTCCCCCCCGCGTATATTTTGGTAGTCCTTTTTCATTCAAACTATCTCCTTCCCAAATTTTATCTAATGGGTACAGCGGTTTTTTGTTTCCCCCATACAAATTCCCACCCCCCAAAAAATAGATTTCTGGGTAATTACTATCCTATGCCCCTTCCCCGGGGCTCGAACATCTCTATCCCAAATTTGCACAAAAGAGCTTCAGCGTTTTAAAGCGTGAAGAACCAACACAGCGTGAACAGCTACACATTTTTTCATTGCATTATTAATTTAGTATGGTTTTGGAAATAGGGGTGGAACTTTTCGCTTATTAATTTTAGTATGGATTGAAAGGGGTGTGACACTTCGCATTATTAATATTATATGGTTTGAAGGGGGGGTGGGACCTTCGCATTTTAATATTAGTGGATGAATAGGGGTGGGGACACTCCGCTTTTTAAACCGTCCTGATATGGCTTATACTAAGATAAAACCAATTGCATAGGGGAAAATCAGCGAGTGTTATAAAAAACCAAAATTTGCCAGGCTTAGTTGTAGGCACCCCTGTTTCTTAATGTGTATGTTTGACGAGCACCATATGATATCTTCTTAAATACAAATTCTTTGAAAATGGGAACTTATTTTAACATTTTTAATAAAATTTATTTTGATCAGCGAAAATTTGTTTTGGTTGTTGTGGTGGTGACGGATTAAAGAAACAGTGTAAACAAGTCAATCTTTCCCTTTAAAGTTTTTAGGGGACTAAAGGACAAACTACGCGGCCATAGTGGACAAAACGTCCTTTCAAAAGAAGGCCTTACCCACATGGCTAAAAAAGGCTGTTTATGAAAATTTTGGGTCACTTACTGCTAACTTTTTCAGCGGGAAGCTGTTCCAGAATATTAACACAGTAGTTTTTAAAAACCTCAATGTTATCGAAAATGCCCAAGGATTACCGCGAAAAACCACACATGGAAGGGATTAACAAAAGGCGGTTTGACTTTAACTTGAAAAATAATACTTGATTTTGTCTGTCAGTTTGCTCAAAATGCTCGTCTGGTAAGTTTTTAATAAATTTTGGAACAATTTTTCTAGACGGAAAAAAATCTCACGAAAAGTTTTTTTAACGACCTTTTATGTCAGTCATTCGCGCCATCTATCGAATAATAGGAAACATTACTTTCAATCCAGTATTTTAAATTGTCCTTGTCAGCCCTTTCAGCGCCATCTATCGAAAAAAAATAGGAATCATTTCTAAAGGGAGTTTTTACCAATGTAAAATTTTTTTTAATTAAAAACCAATAAAAAAATATGTGGTAATAGCCGCTTTTAGAGGGGCTTTTAAATTTAAAAATCGTGTCAAATCAGTTTTACTTGGGATCGTCCCCACTTCGTTCCTACGGGTGTCCCACACACCACAGGGCTTTTTTTTTTTCCTTCCGATTAGATTGTCAAATACTATAAAGGGGACCCGTCTTTTCCCTTTTGCCTTACACCAAAAAAGTCAAGATTCCATGAAGCAGAACAATGGGAGAAAGCACGGGGTAACTTTTAAGAAATGTTTTTTTTACTTTTTTTTTGTTAGAAGGGGCAGACGAGCAGACGGTCACCCGATGGTAAATGCCTTCGACGCCCCGATGAACGTCTCAACTCAGGAGTCACAACGCGTTGCCGGGCCTTTAGAAAGGGTACGCTCTTTTCTGAAGGGTTTTAAGGTCTATCGATCCCGGGAAAAAACCGCAAAGATAACCCTTTCCCCAATTGGTTGTGCAGGGGGAAAAAATTTTCTCAAAAAAAAAATAAAATTTTTAATTTTTTTCTTATAAAAAAAGAAATTTTTAAATATTAGACAATAACATTTTTTAGTAAACTCCAATAAATCCACTAAGAAATATTATTGCAAATTTTATAACAAATATCTTTCGACAAATTTCTTTACATACATCCAAAATTTCTCTGTTTTAAAATTTCACACTTTCCTGCATGAGCCAGGATGGCTCGATCTGTCAACGTTAAAATGCTTTTGTGCGTCTCAGGTTTTCAAATGTCTTCTTACAGTCTTTTGGGGTCTAAAAAAATGTATGGGAAGGGCCTATCGCCTCAAGGATACCAAACATTCTTGCCCTTTTTACACCACTGTAAAAAAATGCTTTTTTGTAGGCCAATTCTTTAAGTCTCTTCTTGGAAAATATCGTCTAGGTTATTATGAAAACGGGGTATAAAAATCAAAAAATCACTTTCCCGTGCATGTCGGAAAAACATCTTATGAGGTACATAAATACCATCAATCAAAAACGGGGGGTCCCTAACGCAAATTTTTTGGGAAATCAATTAGACAGCATTTGTTGGAACATCGTTTTCATCTTAACATTATTATTGTTCACCCACAAATCCCCCTTTGTAATAAAAACGTTCAGAGGTTTTTTTTGTTCTTTTAAGGGTTTACCCTTTAAATACTTTTTTCCATTTTTATTTAAATCTAGCCAATTACGGTGGGTTTTCCAGAAAAAGGGTTTTTTGAGATTTGGGAGATAATTTACGGTGCTTTTTGCCCGGGGCGTCGCAAAAAATTTTCTTTAAAAAAATTGATTCTTGAAAGTGCTGTATGAACGCTTTAGACTCATACTTTTTTTTGGGCTCATAATTAACGAATGCGCATGAAAATTTGCTATGATTTTGTCTACGAAAACCCGTTCCGGGGGGGCAGAGTTGCAGATAAAAAGGACGGGATATTTTTCTAATGGAGATCTGGCACACGACTAGAGTCCGTGAAAGTAGGCTTTTTTTGCAAAAAAACGGTTTTTGGACCTGGAAAAGATATAGCAAATTTAGTCTTTTTTTATGATATAGGGTATCAAGATGCCAGTTAAAGTTTTTTTTCGGTAAGTGGCAAACGGGCAGAGGGCTCTTATGGGAAGTTTTATTTTCCGCCCCCCATACCCACTCCTGAAAAACGTGGAAAACCCTCTTCCGCAAAATGGGAGCGTTCGACGGGAGTGATACCAGACCTCACAGAAAAACCGTGTTAAAATTTTTGGGTTTCCTTTTCAAACCCAGGGGGTGGGTTACCGGGCCCAAAAACCCATTTGGGGGGGGACTTAAAGGGGGGAACGCATTTGTGGCTCTTAAGTCGCAGGTCCTGGCGCGATAGGCACTTTTCCATTGTGGCGACTTTCAAAACATGAAACAAAAACATAGTAAGCCCCATCTAACGAAAACACACCGAACTATGGGGTCTGCTAATACTGTATCGCGATATGAACCAATTCTCTGCCGATTAGCATATAACAACTTAAAACATCAAAACCCTTGGCCGCTCCCCCCAGGCATGATCACCTCGCCTGGTCGGAGGTCCTCCCCCTTTGTGTTGGAGGACATAACACCCGTTCCCCACAACCCAGGTGGGCCGCCCGTTTTCGTTTCCCCTCTATACCATTAATGGGGGTAATTAATATTTTTTGGGTTTCAAAGTGTTGATGTTTTACAATTAACCAAATGTGTGTTATCTAAACGAAAAACGTTTATGAAAAAACACTTTCCCTCATCACAAAATCTCCTCAAAAAGCTTTAACAAATTTCCCCTCGTCTAAAATAATTTTTACATTTTAAAAAAATCACTCCTAGCTTTTGTTCTCCACGGGAAACGCTTTAAAAACAAGGGTTTTCTTCGTTTCCCTTCAAATCTACATTTAAAACGCTTTCCAATGATCACCTAGGAATCCGCTATACCGTCCTTTGCTGGTTTTTTTTTCATTCCGTAACTTTACCCCAAACATATCACCGAAGGG